GAATGTGTACTCCACTCCACCCGGTTTCACAGAATGGAAGAAACAATGCGCTAACCTGAACCAGGAACCACTGGAAAGGGAGAAAAAATGAACGCCGTCCTCCCTGGTTCGAAACTCGACGCAGGGATCGGCTGTCGTGATTGAGGATTTTCGTGGTTTTCCTCTGTCACTCAGTGAAAATTTTCGCAATATTACTGTTCACAAATCATCCTACCATTCCACGCTACACAACCCTCGCACTCGGAATAACATTGTTCAATAAACCAATACTCAATTAAGGAAGAAAAATAAAATAAACACATAGACTACAAGCAAAGGAATAAAGCAAGAAATAAAGAGATAAAAAACAAAATGAATGAGAATCGCCATTCAAAGGCAGAAATATCTCCATGTGGCTGAGTTTCTCTTCAAAATCTAAGCTCAGCTAGTCAATAAATCTTATATTTTATGAGACCCGAAGTTCATTACTGTTACGTTGACAGTCCGTCTACACAACAATTTATTATAGTTTCCATGTTTATTAAGGTCCACTACATGTTTCGATACGCCACGGTGGTCTAGCGGTTAGAACGCTGGCCTTGTAATCCTGGGGTCTCGGGTTCGATTCCCGGCGGTGCCCGAATTTATAACTTGTGTTGGGCAAGGCCGTGGTCTAGGCAACACGGAGTTTTCCTCCGGGGGCTTCCCCGGTTTCTCCGTGGCATCCCAACAATTACTCCATTCACACACAGAAGAAGGCAATGGCAAACCACTTCTGGATCATCTGCCAAGAACGTATATGAACAGATCCCAGTCCGAGAAAAGGATGGAAGGATCCTGTTCATATGGACCTGTCGTCAGACAGAACACGAAATAAATAATACATGTTTCGACCTTAAATGGTTCTAAATGCTCGAAAATAATAGATAAGACAGCTGAATTTTATACTTTATTTCGAACAGATAACATTCGCGACTGCTTTACAGTTATTCGTAATAGGAATGTACCTTTGGCCTGGAGTAGAACTTTTTTTTCCTTCTCCTGGTTTTAAAAACGTAGGCTAACTTCTTGTGACAGCAGGATTTTTGGTTACCTATAATGGTGTCAGATGACGTGATTTATATGTTGGAGGATTTATCTGTAAATAAATTATTTTGGTATTAAAGTTTTTAAATGTGTCTTAAGCAGCTTGTCTATGTGGATGTAGTTACCGGTTGAATGCTGTAGTTGAACTGAAGGGGTTGGTTGATGCTCAGGGGAGGTGGGCATGATGGGGACGATGGTGGATGGAGAGAACAATCTTTACGTATTATGCAAGTTTATCAGGATTCAACAAAAAGTGCAACAAGAAAGCTTCCTTCTACCTCCAAGATTAATAACCCAAAGGGGCTTTTAACTCATAGACAGCTTGAACATTCTAATATTTTAATATTTTATACATCTTGCGAAATATCCACACAACTTTAATTTTCTCCCTTCCAATTTAGCAAATGTTTTGAAGTCCGAAGGAAAAATATGTTTCTACTCTAGGTCCAAATTCCTATGCTTCCAGGTGCATATATGTTCCAAATATGAACAAAATTCAGCAGTCATATCTATCAGTTTCGAGCATTTAGAACCACCTGAAGATGACCATTTAAGATCAAAACATCTTAATAAAAATTGAATCTATAATCAAGAATTGTTTTGTAGGCGGACTGTAAACCTAACTATCAACACGCAACAGGATGCGTCCCTTAAAACTGGCCATTGCTGTGTTTGCAAGAACGGACCATCGAAAGACAGAAGGAAAGAAAACAATGGGAGGAAAGAATGAGACGGAGAAAAGGTCAAGAAACGACAGAGACTATATGTAATGCCCAGACGTAAATAAGAGTACAATATTAAAATGAATTTTACAGAAATATTTTATAAAGTTGTGAACTGGTTTCAACTTAATCAGTGCAACGGCTTGCTTTCGTGAACAAGGGCGATCAATTTTTGGATCCCGGTATCGTAACTGCTTACGACCTGAGCAACTAGGCTTAAATTCCCGACAGCTCCGGGGACCACTGTCTTCGACAATACGTACAGACTGGCTCTATTGCGAATTCAGATTTAATATCCTGAGTTCTTTTGCGGTGGTAAGGCGGCCGATGCGTTAAGCTTATCATTTACCTCCATTTGGTGAAGTTTTACCTCCACTCCTTCACACACCACCACAACTTCACAACTTTCCAGTCTTTGGTTTCAAAATACCGACACCTGACATATTTTTCTGGGTAAAAGATAAGATGGATATTGATCGTAAATCTGCGTGTGGATAAGATGCATGTCACGTGGCTCCCATTTGGACGATTGACTTCTTGTTTGGTTCAGAGGACAATGCTCAGGGTGGGAGGCAGCGAAAGGAAACGAACAGAAAGTTTGGTAATCCAATATGGCAGTATTAGTTGCAAGAATGAGATAGTGCCCGATCTCATTTCCGTTATTGAACATTTACGTTGAAACAGAGAATCAGATTCCTTTACGTTGCAACTATCCCCTGTATTAGTTACTACACTCTGAAATTGTCGCTTCTTCTTAAAGGTTCACTAATCTGAAATATCCTGCATCTATTTGTAGGTTACTGTGAACAAAATTACTGTCTATACTAAAATAGGCCAATGATTAAGGCACACCGCAGAACGTCGTAGTCGAATTACTCCCTTCCTTATTCGGAAATCTTTAGTTTGAATATTTCGTCCTATCCTGGGACTTACTGTGGCTTACCTCATTTTCTCCTGAGATACGATTAAAATATGCCAGAACTGCTGCCTTCTATGTCCTTTCGAATAATCAAAGCTTTTCGATGATCGATAATACATACAGTTGAGAAAATCCCATCAAATAAACAATAAACAGTCAAATAAGGATAAAATATGTACACATTTGTTCTATATACAGGTTATATTAGGATGTGGATTACTACTGTGCATTATGGGTTCCCAAAGGCTTGAACGTATCCAAGTAGATGACGTGAGACGCCTAAATGTTCTACTTACAAGTGTTGCTTCTTTTAGAAGCCTTTTAGAAGTACTTACAATACGCGTGACTTGTTAAATAACGAGGATGGGAAAGGAATACAGGAGAATGTCTAGGTTATGCAGCCACAAATGGCGGGATCAATTTTGAAAGATGAATGGGAAAACAGCTTCAGAAAAGTTCGAGGCTTATTTTAGGGTGTGGCTCCAAAATGATGAACATCGTGAGAATCTCAGGGTATCCGGCGTTACGATCAAAATACGGCCACGGGGCCTCCATAATACGAAGCCCCAAACGTTTCGTCTCCCGCTCCTCAAAGAAACATCTTGGAGTCCATAATAACAATTACATTTGTGCCGATATCCATAAACACTTAACCAAAACTTACAGTTACTAATTCAGTCAAGTTTTGGTTGCCAAAGAATAAAACCAATGTTACTGACCTCAAGTGGTCTTGTGTTACTTTTCCATGCTACCGAAACCAAAAATTCCTTGAAACTGTCTAATTTTGAAACCCTTGAAAACCTTCAGCACGATACAATTACAGTATTGAAATATCTCTCGTAAGATTACCTTCAGAAATGTTTCCAGGCATAGCAGATATTTTACAACCAATACACAATTCACGTACTTCGAATATGACCAGGTAACTGCACTGTTTGTGAACGAAACGTTGGTTGGACTGTGAAAAAGAATACCACGCTGCCATCTAGTAATAGAATTAGAAATATAACCCAGTTTACAGTGATACATGCCACCTAGTGAGCACCACAGTAACTAAAATAATGTGAAACTGGTCTATTACTTCCGAAAAATAAAAATATTAACTTTTGTCTGCGGAGAATGAACCTTAATTTTATTGCCCCAACACAACAGAAAGAAATCATGGGGAAACGCAGTATATTTTCTGGAAGTAACAAAAGGTAAAGCCATTTGTAATAAAAGTTTCCTGAAACATAGTTCACTGGCTTCTATATGCCAGATGAAATCAAGATAATCACTTGTGTCACACAAACAATGCTTTCAATTGTGGGCAAAAATATTAATAGACTGAAGGAAAGAAACAATGAGGCAGAGAAAGAATAATAGAAACAAAGGTAACTGCAAACTGTTCTTCATAAAATGTACTACAATGCATCCCAGTGAATGGTGCAAGATAAGTCAATATGCCAAGTGCCAGGACACAAACAGGCATCATAAAATAATGGAATATGATTATTCAAAGTCCTAAAAATTTTCTGAAAAATGTAAGGGAAGAAACTCTTTAATATGACTGTAAAGAAACTAATCAGTCTTAAACAACAAGGACTAATTTATACTAGCACATTATTAGCACGCTACAGAATCGTTTATTACAATGTTTCTGTTTACAGCTCTAATCAAAGATGTGATTCTGATAACATGAAGCTCACATTTTAAAATAAAATATTAAATATCTTCACATTCATTCAATTGTCAAATAACTGCTGCACACACATAATTACCTACAACTAGCAACATTTTAGTTCTCAAGGAAAGACACAAACTCAGTGAGCTTGTAGAGCTGGTCCTCACTGGAGGCCCCTTGATTTGGACTGTCACTGGGTCGACAAGGTTTCACCATATGAGAGCCTGTATCAACCTTCCAGCCTTGATCTGTTGCTGCTAAAACAGCTTGCTCAACTGGCATCCCCACAAATGCTGCAAGGTCATCTATGCTGATGGATGAGTATGCATGGGAGACTAGATACACTGCTCGCTTGCGGACATTTTCTGCACAAACACACACTACTTCAAACTCTGCTATACTCATTCAAACAGTAGCATAGGCTAATACAAAAAAGCTCCCACATGTAATTCTGAACACTTCTTAAACGAGTTAGAAAGCATTATAAATTATCTTTGTATACCTACAGCAAAATTTGTCATTTGTGGCAACGTTAATATTCATTACCATACTGAAAGTTGCCACAAAGTCTAAAACTCCCAACTAGCATCTTTTAATCTCATATCAACAGTTAATTTCCCCACAATAATTCAAAATGACTCCAGTACTACCACTGATATTTTGTAGACAGTTCCAGGAAGAAACATATTTCTATTTAATCAGTTATAAATGGACTATCTGATCATGATGCATAACTATAGACCAATTTCATCTCTAAAATATTTGAGAAAGTTTTGCACAAAAAAAATGTCCTTGCAAGTGAACAATTTGGATTTAAGAAAAGTTTCCTGACTGATAAAGCCATTTTCAATTTTACTGATGATATCTTAAAGGTTCTTAATAATAAAATGCATATCAGTGGAATATCTTGTGATCTTCCTAAAGCATTTGATTCTGTAAACCATAAATTATTATCGTCAAAACTATATTTTCATGAAATTTAAAATATAGCTGGTAAGTGGTTTAAATCATACTTTCATAACAGAAGGCAACAAGGAAAAATAAAATCACCAGATTCAAATAACAGCACCTATTAAAATTTAGGCATTATGAAACATGGAGTTCCTCAAGGATCAATACTTGGCCCTCTGCTTTTCCAGATATATATCATTGATTTACAACCAACCTTTAACTCTCAGTCTAAACCAATACTTTCTGCATATTTTACTAATATTATTAATTCACATCCAGAAAATGACTGTTCAGAATTTGCAGGAACAATGACTTTGTTACCTTGAACAAACTGATTAAAATCAATAAAGTCACATTAAATTTTGATAAAACAAACTTCATGAAATTTTCTACTACCAACAAAAATTGTGTTAATCTAAGTATAGGGTGTGAGGATAAAACAACTGAAAAAGTAAACCAACAATATTTCTTGCCCAACAAATTGACAATAACTTAAAATGGAAAACACACATTCAATACATTATCCCTAAACTAAGCTCAGCATGCTTTGCTATGGGGACTGTCATGTAACTATTAAAAACAGAAACTTTAAAATTAGTCTCCTTTTCTTCCATTCAGTCAAGTCATTAAAATTATTTTCTGGGAAAACTCAACAGACAGCAAAAAAGGATTTTACATCAAAAAAAAATCATTAGAATAATGGCATGCACAAAAGGGAGAGCCTCATGTAGGGAATCATTTAAGGAATTTAATGTTCTTCCACTTGCCAGTAAATTATTGCTCTTGTCAATTACAGTGGATACACAGAAAAATATTAAACTCAGATATCCACAATATAATTACAAGATGCAGATATAACCTCCATGTGCTAAACACTACTCAGTAAATATCAAAAAGGAGTTTACTATAGTGGAAATAAGCTATTCAATAAACATCCCCCCGCCCCAACTACAAAGAGTCTGAATCACGATATAAAGAAGTTCACACCAGCACTAAAAGAATATCTCCTATCTCACTATTCCTATTCCAAAGATGAATCTACCTCAACCAAGAATTATCAGCTATTATAAATACATGTAAACTATAGTCGTTATGCTTTCTTGCATAATTATTTTTGTAATAACATGTAGTTGACTGTATTATCACTGACCTAACTATTTTTATTTGTACTAGAAACAAGTACTGTATTTATGTTATGACATGTTCTATATCCTTGGCTTAGTCTATGAAAGATCTGTGAAATGTGCATAAATTCTACTCTATCCTAGACTGTCCAGGTCAAGGAACAAGAATTTTGATGTCGGACTACATGACCGGCTGCTCCCTATTAAAGTTCCCTCAGACAATGGCCAACTATGAGTACATGCACAATTAGCAGTTGTGTCCCTCATCCAATCAACATTGACAATGGAGGCAAAGATAGTCTATGAAATGGCTATTAACTACTTTCTAACACAGTCACCGAGAAGACTTCATTATGTACTCAGTATCTGTAAATCATTGGAATACACCAAGTTCTTTTTGTCTTGTCAAACTACATATTATCAGCTACTACAAAATCTAAATTATAACAAAGCCAAGAATCATCATGAACCTGTAACTACGGATTTCAATATAGTTACAATAAAATACCACAGGTAGTAAACAACTCACCCAAAAGAGCTTGCATGATGTGTCCTACATTCTCTGACCAATCAACAGTAAGGGCTGAATATACTCCCATAAAGTCCCGCTGCCACATTTTCTGTCCTACCTTCCATATGAGAGCCAGTTCAGCATGTGAATTCTTCACATTTTGTGGAATTCGCTTCCACAGGTACTTAGCATTGCACCTATTTAAAATGTGAAAAGTTTTATTACAATGAACAATCATGGTATTTTTACATTAATGTTCCTACCAATATTTTCCATAACCTAAAGAAAGAACATTCAATTTAAACATCAACAGACTTACTACGAACATACTGCTGTATGTTTACATATTATACGTACAGGTCGTTTTGGTATAAATATATGGCAAGAAGCTGAGCATACACTTGCGATGTTGGAATGCCACCAGGAGCCTGAAACAACATGTCATGTTCATTACACCTATGAAGTCAGTATGACTTACAGCAGTTCGGTTATAAATATCAGAACTTACATCTAATTCTTGTTTTTCTAAATCTTCCGCGAGTTTTCTAATATTTTCTGTATCTGTAACCATTTTAACGTGTCGTTTTAACACACAAAATTAACACAATAAATATCTTAACCTCTCCTACCCGAACAGTAGCTGGACGGCAACCATTCAAAATCTTACAGCTTCAGACCATAATAGAGATTCATTGTGATCACAACTGAAAAAATAAAATTCCTGTAGTAAAAGAATTTTAACTGCCCAGTAATTAAATTTTCACTTCCCCAAGATTTTAATAAATTTCTATCTAGTTGCCTAGCCAAATCAATCAGAAAAAAATACGAGTTCAAATAAATTTCAGTTGTGCTGTAGGTCCAGGATCTTTAGGTATATTGTTTAGATGTTGGCACGAGTCTCAGTGTATGACATCCTGCCATCTAATATTGTTCTTACAAACTACGTTAGAATAGCAAATTATATTTTACGTGTTGTGGATTGTGACGTCGTGTGGGCGTGTAGATAGACATCAATATTTTAAAGTAATTCAGATTTAAAACCATAAAATGGAGACAGTATGTTCCAAATGTGTCGTACTCAGACCATGATTGCTCAGATGGATTACCTGCTATGAAAAAAGTAGATCTTATTGGTGTATCAAAACTATACCTATCATTTAAAGTGCTTGGCAATGAATATTTCTACAAAATGTTAGTAAGCGAAACTTATGCTGAAGAAATATTCTTTCGTTGTAGAGGAGTAATCAAGAATAAATGTCTGTAAAGATGTGACTAGCTGAAATGAGACTATTTTTTTATTTTAAATGGGTACAATCCAAATATCTGTTCTTCAGGACTACTGAAAAACTGCTTCTGTTTAAAGCAGTGTGTTTTTCTTCTCATATGAGCAGGACCTGTTTTCTTCTCATTCTACAATTTACAATAAATTCAAAACCTTGAGAACCCAATCATCATAAACAATTACACCTGTATTAAAATCTGTTCAGTTATACCACAGAAAGGATTTCTTACTTGATGAACTGGTCAGGTTCTCAGAGCAGTGAGTATGAAGATGACTGTCTTCGGTAATGTTGTACCTTGTACTTTGACCAAGATGCATTCTGTCTACATCATCAGTGTTATTCTTTGCCCTGATGATCGAGGCAGTATGCACCTCTGAAATTATGGTAAATTTCTGCCAGACTAAATAGCACAACATCCCAGTAGACAGTCATTTTTGGAACACAAAATGTTTAGCAGTACCTTTTTTAACTTTATCATATGGGAACAGGTAATTTGGGCATGGAAGGTAGAAATATCTGACCCATACTGTCATATTCCAGTGTATTCCATATTTGGTTACGTTCTGGTTGAACTGAGTGAAAATGACAAATATCCTAGGTAGAATACTACTAGTACAGGAATATGGAGCAGATATCCCTGTGGAATGGAAGACATAATAATACACAACACTGTCTCACTTTAAAAACCTTGTATGTCTGATTGCTGTCAGATTATAATATTTAATGTTTTCTAAACATAAAATTGCCCACTATGTGTTTAAATAAAATATAACTCTACTACAGATAGTGCCCCTAGCAGCAATTTCAAAAACCTTATATGAAAGTTTATATAATACTTGTACTACGTTCTGGAAAATTTAGTGATTCATACATATGAGGTTTTAAAAGCAAGCTTCTGATACATGGAACAATATTCATACTCATTGTGAATTATATATATAACATTTTATTTAAATCCCAACATCTATCTTATATACATAACATTTTAAGGTCAAACTTTGATGAATATATTATATTACATTATATTATGATATTTTTGGAAATAAATACCAGTGATAGACTGATGGGAACTTGGCCCATGTTATGCTTCAGTTGGGAGGAGTCGGTTGCAATGACCCTAACCAATCACAAGCAATTCTATATGCATTCCTGATTCAGTCACACAATTAATTTTTTTAAGTTAAAATTGTTTTTATAAAATACTAATATTTATCCATAAATTAGGACATAGTTCTTATAATGTGACTTTCATTCATCTTAAATCACAGTTTAGACTTGAAAATGTTAAGGCAAACCAATAACATGGACTGTTTATTTGTCACCTCAGCCGATAATAGGTAGAGCTATTACCGTCGCATTGCAATATTAATTGAGATGAGATTTAAAAATATATTGCTTTACTACAATTTCATATTTCTTTATTTATGGCTCTTGTTGATTCCCATAAAGGCAACACTTGAAAATAATTGACTCACTTCACATTTTCACTACTTTCAACAGTTTCTGTTACAAGATTTTATGTCAAGAATGAAAATGTTTCTCAACTATTTTCTGACTGTTTTCAAACACACAACAAAGGATCTATGAACTGGTATGTCTTATTTGCACACCCAGGCTAAAGCCAGATAAGGCCACCCAGTTAAAGCTGCAGCTACTTAATGTAGCTCTCTCTTGTAAATTCCATGTGTCACACTTTCATAACACTTTACTCTGCTGGAAACATTTCAAAAATTCATTAACAGGCTGTGCTCATAATTGATGGAGTCCAATTGCAACCACAGGAATATTTATTAATACTGCAATATAAACCATTTTGTAAATACAATCTGATGACGATGTCAATATCTACTTAAAACACAAAACAGACATATTCAATGCCATTAGAGAAATGATTTCTTACTTCTATATATCTGTGCTATTCTTATGTACCCAAGACACTCAAAATAAATGCTTTTTTAATTTTTTTTTTAAATTTATATATTCTTTGCAAGTTTTAAGAAAGAAAATACATATCCAATGATTCAATTAGAATGGTCAGTTGTATAATCTATTTTGTAAAAGTGCACCTCTTCAGAATTTAAACTAATAAGAGAAAAAGAAATGCTCTTTTGTGTTAAAAATCACCGCTACACCTTCCTTCCACTAACACATTAATTGCCATGGGGAAAGATTCATTGATGCTCTAGTGTTGTAAATTAACTACTATATCTGCAGAATATGGTCTCATTAGGATTAGAACATTCCTTGCCCTGAGCCATGTTGTTCTAACAAAGCTGACAAACATATAGTCAAAGAAACAAAAATATAGTCAATCAAATTCTACTTGATTGGCAGACATCACTTAGCTTAAGAGTACAAGAAACAATATGCTTAAAGTTTAAATAGTTGCATGGAAAGTTTTTAAATAATTCTTGTCCACAAACTTCCCAAAAATAACTGCCTTTGCTTAAAACAGATGAATTAAGAAATAAAATTTTAAGATTGTAAGATATGTGGCAATATAATGTTGAACTTCCAGGGCAATAGGTCTAACAGTTTAACTTCATTCTTCACTTGTATTTCCCATTACAATCATTCACCTTTCATCACATTTCAAACCAGAGCCCTTGTAATCCAAACTGTGACTCATGTAATATGTTAATAAGCAATTTAAACAGTGAACCTTGCAATAAAAAATGCAAACTGCATATGTATAAACAAAAATAAAAAGGCTGTCACTGAAACTCATAATCCTTTGGAATAAATTCTTATTTACTAAAAGCCACTTACTCTACTACAACAGTCCTGCTCCCGCAGTATAGAGTTCTCTGTTGTGCGTTTCGACTAGTTTCTTACAAAAAATATATATTATGACATCTCATTAGACTAAAACAGGTACAAAAAAATATTTGTGTCTGTGTGTGCAGTGACCTAACACATCATAGAGTTCTCTCATTTTTAAAAATACTTCTTTTCGTTAACGGCACATCAGTAAAGCACCGTAGTTATGTTGCACATATCCCCTTACTGCTGGGCTCTTACACTTGCAAACTAAACATCAGATTGTCCATGCAATGTGCAATAACCATCATCTCTTAAGTGGAAAATAACAGAGCATAAATTACTTTCACACAAAAACAAAAAATTATAATAATAAGAGTCATTTAACTGTGTTCAGATTATGCATGTCCATTATTCAGTTTAATTGAAGAATAAAACAATAGATACAATATTTCTGCTATAGAAAATTTGCAGTTGCATTTTCATTAAGCACACTGTTCCAGAAGATGAGTTATATGCTTGATCTTAATGAATACATGCAGTTTCATGTACAATACTAGATTATTGCATAATGTATTTGATTCTTGGAAAAAATTCTGTGTTACTTTCAACACACACTTTGTTTGCCACAGAATTAATACGGCACTAACATAGCAATTCTGCTATTAAAGGTCTTAGGTATGGGTATCAGTCCGCTGTCAATAGAATTCAACGTTATGATGGGTGGCACACAAAGGTTCACTCAACAGTAATAGTAGCGATTCGCTTCACCCTTTTCCCTCCACGATGATGTCGGTGTCGATGGTGTCGCTTCAGATGGTGCTTCCTACGTTTCTCAACTTTACCATCTTCACTACTGCCTCCATTACAGCTGCCATTTCCTACAGAACTTGAGCTGTATGAATCATCCATTTGTCGCTTTCGTGATCGAGTTAATGGTCCTTCCAACCTGTCACTGGATTGACCGCCAGTCACAGACGCTGCACCCGATACTGATACACAGTCACTATCACACGACATGCGCTTGGTGTTTTCTCTTAAGGGACTAATCTGTTGTTCTTTCTGCTGTTCCTCTGAGATAATGCACACAGATACTGCATCATCATTTGAAGAAAACCTTTCCCCTGCCTCAACACTGATGCCACCAGAGATTCTTCCAGTAACATTTTCAAACACTTCTACACTTCCTTGACTTGAAATGTCTTCAAACAAAGGAACACTTCTCATCTCTTCAGGTCCTTCAGTCTTCTTCCACTTTGGTGAGAAGATGACTGGCTGTGCAACCTCAGTTGATTCTCTAGCAATGTTTTTTGATCCTTCACCAGGGGACCTAGAGCAGTGGCTAGAGTCATCTGATGAAAGGCTACAGAGGTATTCACGTACACGAGCTTCCCCAAAGTTGAACACTTTACCACTATCTTCTTGTGAACTGCTGACACGTTTACGTTTTAGCAATCCACCACTTACAGATGTTGTTGATCCTGAAGGATTCACCTTCACTGGTGTCTGGATGGATGAGTTACCTGCAAATGTCAAATTCATAGCCTATATTGTCTCTGTTCGTGTAATATCTGCACCGAAACTTCAAAACTGAAACCTATAGCAAATAAATGTTTGTATAAGGTGAGTTGCCCATCAAAGCAATAAGACACATGATGAATGCTTAACAGACTGATGCATGTATTTCCTTTGATGCCTGCCTGCCAATATGATAGGCACATATATCTTGTAATGTTTATCATAAGAGATAAACAGTGTGTGTCTGAGGTGATTGCTATTACAAAGTATCATAAGCCAAAATAAAAGATGTTCCAGTATCTGTAATTTCTTTAACCATTGTGTGGGAGAGTATATATGTTTATGGAAGTGGTAATTCAATTCAATTAAACAATACAGAAATTTGCACTATTTTCGCACAAATTATCGACTACCTTCCTATTTCATACAAATGCACTCTTTTGAAAATCAGATTTACATAACAGAAATGCCAAAATTTCTCAGTTTAATTATCAGATTATAGCCAAAGTCAACCTGTCACTTAAAGGTTTAATTCCAGAATGTGGTAAACTAATGGTTTAAGCTAATGTTTGCAAACTGACAAAGTACTTACGTTTTTCTTAGAAAAAGCACAAACATTTTGACATGGTATGGGAAAACAAATATGATATCACAGAACATTAATTGGGTAAGCCGATTGAAGTACTAGCAGTCACTGAATAAATATTCAGACTGTTGAGACTAAATACTTGAGGAGTAAAAATGGAAAAATATGAACAGATAAAATTACATATGAGGGGGTGAAGGAAAGGGAAAAATCCTCAAGATTATGGAAAGATTCTTATGGTCTAAAGGTGGAAAACCGCAGAATTTCCCAGAGTACTGTAGCTGCAACTACGGAAAAAATGTCACAAAACAACAAATATATCATAGGATGGAAGAAAAAATAGGAATGTGATCATAAATTTGGGTATATAAAAGGACAGACTTGAGTAAAACTTTTAAAATTGTATAAGATGACATCTTCTGAAATGAAATTACAATATCCCACCTGAAGAACTGGATGTAGAGAAGCTACTGGAGGTAGAACAGCTGCGAGCATCAGTTGAAGATTTCTTCATGCGTCTCCTTTGTGCCAACTTGGCATTCATAACATCCTGGCCACAATAAAATATCTGTTAGCTTGTTGCAATCACATTTCACAACAGTCAGAAGTGACTTTCAAAGAAACAGGCATATAAAATGAAAAGAATGTCCCTGGAAAGCACTCATTAGCCCCACAGACTACTGTAAGTAACAACTGCTATGAAAATGTTGGAGAAACAGAAAGCTTTACTTGATCACAAAATAAGAAGCTGGTTTTGTTCAACATGCCCATACTCAACAATTCTTTCTAGTGAAACTGATAGCACTCACCTATTATTTATATTCAGATAAACTAAATCCTGATTTCCTTTAACCTCTTCATTAGTCCATTTATTGGAAACTCCCACCCGCTGACATGAGTGAAACAATATTAAAAGGAGCTAATTTACTTCTAGAACAAGAATGACCATTTCACTCAAATTCTAAAAACCTCACAATACCCAGCAGTAAAATACTTTAAAAACCATTATTAAAAATCAGTTCTTAGCCATTGTTTCTTCCTGTTCCAGTAATTTCTTTGGATAATTACTCACTGTATTGATATCTGTTATCACACCTCTCTTCCAATATATTCAACACAATAATAACTTTATGATGGACAGAGTATGTATATAAACAGACTACCGGAAGAGAATTCACACAACTGACCTGTAGCCTGAAACCTTCTCGATGTGCTTGGAGGAAAGCACTGAATGTCTGCTTCACACCCATTTCTGCTGATCGAGCCGAGGATCCAGAAGTAAGGACGTCTGGAGTCACGAGTGGTGTTGCAGGGTAGAGTCTGAAATTATTTCCTTGTAACCACTCATTGTTACGTAGATCGTTTATCTGCAGTCTCTTCCTGGGGTCAACTGTGAGCAGACCTGTAACAAGGATCACATGTATCAATACATTTCTTTAGCATGTACTGCGTAACATTCCATTTTGGAGCTGTTTAAATTAAGTACATGACATTTTTCTTATACAAATTAGTTTTTCTTAGGCAATTAGTTCATTTAACAAACATTATCTGCAATGTATGATAATATGAGGTATAAATAACATAACTCAAACCCATAGCATTTAGAAGAAAGTATTTCCTATTATTTGAGAATGTCTTAGTCTCATTCATTCGATAGTCCATACACTCACCTATCCACCTCCTCCAATCAATCCAAACTCAAAAATTTTATTTACACAGATATAAAATGGAAAAAACAGTATCAAAATGAGGTTCCACAGATGACACAGACAGAATATGGTCTGTGAAGACCATTTTATATTAATTTTACATTATTTAAAAAGAATTGCTGTTGTGGTTTCTAATACAATTTTGTTCATAAACAGAGTTTAAGGAAAATTAAATAAATTTGTCAACTAAGTTAGTGTGACCCAATGATTCATAATTCTCCTGTCTACTTTGAATTTTTACATATTTATGACAATGCTTACCTTTGGTCACATACTTGGCTTGTGCAGAGACATGAGTCCAGGCATCATCATTGAAATTAAATTCTCCTCCCTTGATCCTGGACATTACAGCTGCTGCACTGTCATCTCTTGACCGGGCATGAAATGGGACGCGGCCAGACAACATAGTATACTGTAAATAAAATATAATGTGAGATTTCAGATTTTAATGACAGCAAGAATGAAGATGGCTGTCATCTGGGTTGTTTCCCCATGTAGTCTGGTAGAAGTTTACCAACATTTCAGAGGTGTTTGCTGCCTCCATCATCGGGGCAACAGGGCACACCAATACAGAAGACAGCCATCTTAAAAGTAAGTATAAACCAGTATGTTTCATATTAATATGCATTTTCTATTTCTCCCTACCAATAAAATTCTAATGCAATCTTGATATGACTGTCTTAATCCCTCATGCGCTCCTTAACTTGTGGAACGCTACTTATAAATGAACACAATTCAGTAAAATTACTTAAGCTCTTAACTTCAACACTATATACTGACAGCAGCCTCTCATGTAAGCATCCCGTGCCATAGCTGCGCAGTCTGAGGCATCATGCTTCGGACCGGTGATACGGAATGCGCGCTGGTTCAAGTCTCGGGGGAAAAGAAATTTTCTCATGAGCTTTCGACCAGTGTATGGGACCAGTGCCAACCCAGCATCGTGAGGAAATTGGGGAGCTACAATGAGTAGCGTAATCCAGTCATGAAAACTAGCAATGGCTGGGGGTTCGTCGTGCTGACCACACGTCACCCTATATCTGGTTGGATGATCGTTCACCTCTGCTTAGGCATGTGAACGTGAGGCCAGCAGTCAAGCTAGTCGACTTTGGCCCTCTGGAGCTGTTACGCCACGGATTTCATTTCAGCCTCTCATATAAATGTTATTTTAATCCTCTGTTAAGCATTCTTCCATTCTCACTTATTTTATACATTTTTATCTTGCTAGAGTACTCTGAATGAACTCACCAAGATAACACCCAGGCTCCACAGGTCACAGTTCTCATCATAACCATCAGTGCCATTACTGAGCACTTCAGGGGCAGCATAATGCATAGTATAACAGGGCGTGAACATAACCTCTTCCTCCTTCTTCAGTCTTGCAAACCCAAAGTCCACAATCTTGATATCAGCCTGGTCTGAATTATCAGTGAAGAGTAGATTCTGTAAGCAGATACAAAAATGGTTGCCCATCAATGTTAAAGATAGTTCTTTTATTGAGCAGTGGGTTAATCACATAAAAGATTAAACTTTGTTTTATCAGATCTACATTGCATTTTTGTTTTCTTGATCCTCGTAAACAACTGCATGGAATTATTTGGAATAATTTATGTATTTCATCTTAATGCATTTGTGAATATGGGATAGCACAGCAGTGAAACGTCTGCACTTGTTTCAAGCTGCTTATATAAGTAATGAATGCCTAGAGAAACAACAAAAAGCAACATGATTCCTGTATAACATCAGCAGTTTGGTAGATTTTAAGCATATTGATCAATGAATAAATAAAACAATCAGTCAAATAGATGCAATGTACAAATATAAACAGCTATGGATGGAACATATTTCTGAGATGGAACATGAAACATTAACAAAGAAAATTTTACATTAAAAATCACAAGGTTCCAGACAGAAATGCTTCCTAAGTAAGATGTTAGAAGATGAAAGCTAATTACAGAATGGAGGTAAAAGAGGTCAAGGGTAGGATAAAATCAATGATGATGCTCCCATACCTCAGGCTTAAGATCTCGATGTACAACTCCACGAGAATGCATGAAGCCAACAGCTGAGATGAGTTTCCTCATAATCTGGCTTGCTTCACTTTCAGTGAAATGATCCTGCCTCCTAATTCTCTCCAATAGCTCACCACCATGTAACAGCTCCAAGACAAGGTATGTATGAGCCTGCAAAAACAGAATTGACACCTCAAATAATTTTGGATTAAAAACATATTTCATTATACAATCATATACCATGATGCTACACTGTTCACAATTATGTAACTTCTTGTAACTTAAATTAATTATGAAGTGTGAAATTAAACAGAAAACATCTAGAAACTAAAATTGTAAATCTATAAGCCAGCAATTTAGCATGAAAATATCTTATTTGCTTCAGAAACGTTGGCCTTACCAGGCACAAAATTTCCCAGTCTTTTCAGTCTTAAAATACTACCATATCTCCACATTTTCACAAACTAGAAATTATAAAGAAGAGAGAATAATGTGAAAAACTGATGAAATAATTTTAGAAATTCCATTAATTAAATAGAATTTCCATACCAAGAAAGTAATTTCCTTTGTTAAGAGCAATACAATTTGCCTTAATTATTTTTTGGCAACTGTTGTTATAATTAATATTTTATAAAAATTGCAAATACTCTAATAAACCATGTTCAATTAAACTAAAATTTTCATGCATGCATCATATTTTTTGTAAAGTTGTTTACACATTTACATACAAATTTATCAAAATTAGCATCACAGATCTAACTGCTTCACCACAAAATTTTATGACAAAGTTGTGTAACATCTTTTACTATTGAACACTCAGTGCAACTTCCATGTTGGATAAACTCACCTCATCATGATACACTTCATGGAGCTTGACAATATTTGGGTGGCCCTGACAGGCTCGCAGTAAGTTTATTTCATTTGTGCAGTCAATTTTTCGACTCACAATTTTAACTGCAAATTCCTGTCCTGTCTGTCGGTTTATGCATTTACGACACACCGAGAAACTCCCATCTCCAAGTATTCCTTCTTTAAGATTTAACTCATAATTCTGGAAGAAAGGAGAGTCCTGCAAAAACAACAAACTCATTAAAACTATCATACAGCACTCAATAAGAGACTGATAAGTTTCCAAAGGTACAAGACTACAGTAACTAATGCTCCAAAAATATAATATAATATAAAGATACAAACAATCTGAATACATTTTATTTATATGACTAACACAACCTCCTTTCCCAGTGGCAATACAATATCACATCTGATGAATGTTGCATCATTATAAAATGTACCCCAAATCTTAATCCACATGATTTAAAAAATACAAAGCAAGTATGGTCATTAAGAAACTAACACTTTATTGCTTTTTAAATGTACATGGTATAGTATATAATTATATAAATTGAAGTTCTGAGATACACCACAGTTGCTATATGTCCATGTTTCCACAGACTCAAATGAGTTTGCTTTTTATGGATTTTTTAAATTTTGGGATATATGATAGCCCTTTTATGACTGAAAATCAAAGTAAAAGGTCCTAGTGTAATTATCAGGTAAATACAGCATATAAGATACTACCTGGAAATACTTAACATTTATATACAATGCACTAACAGATAAAGAGACTATTTGCTACAGCTTTTTGTCACCATCTTCTCTTAATACATGGCACATTTAAAGCAAACATCTTCTTAAAAATTAATGAAGATATATTATCACTTACCCTAAACTTGCAGGACAAAAGATGGGCCGTGTTTGGACGTTTGTCTGCATTAGGCTGAAAAATTTCGTCACTCACTACATTTTCACTAAAAAGGACCGATGGTGCCACATATGAGTATCCCTGCAATAACAATCAGTGCATAGGTACAGTTTCACACATCAAAAGTAAATAAGCAAATTCTCATACAATGAAACATTGTTGTTACAATTTTTATAATATCAACATCATCACATAATTATACATTGTATAACTAAAAAGACATTGGGTTCTCTTTATTCATAACATAGGTTTTCAGGAGTTAACAACCTCCATGTCCCTTTTATTACCGTCTGTAATTTTGCCACGATAACCACTATTTTGTTAACACCTGACATATCCACTTTTTAATTTCCAGTACCTGTTATAAAAGCTCAGGAAGTTTAAGAGAAAAACTAGTAAGAAGCACTAAATTCAAAGTGTAACAAATAACTTGTTCCCACCTTAAATATTTTGTCAAAATTTGGAGGCACAATGGCAGGCGAGTCAGTAGGAATCATCCTGGTGAACTCATCAGAAAAGTTGCTGACATCCAGTTCGTTTGTTATCCTGGGTATAAATGGAGCTGGAATTGCCTTCTGTGCCAGTTCATCCCAATTTGTTCCCTGTGGGGTAAAGCACAAGCAATAAATAACATGCATAACATAATAAATAACATACGAAGAAGATAATTCAAAACTAAAACATTCATATATGTTAAGGTAACAAATATGCAGTTGGGAAAAGACCTTACTTTGAAGAATGGATGTCTTTTGAGTTCCTCAGCATCCTCTTCTCCTCCCCCTAAACGTTTTCGTGGATCCTTGACCAACAATTTAGATATGAAGTCTGCCACATCAGGGGACAAATCGTCTGGGATAGGAGGATTTGTTTTAAGTATTCGGCTGCAAAAGAGAAATTCACTATTCTATTTTCCATTATAAATATATAAATTAAAAAAAATCATTTGTAATTATTGTTTACAAAGGCATTCAAATTCCATTCAGGTATAGAATTTCACAGTTCTATGCACAGTACTTTTAGCTTCCAGATCTTACTTTGCATTTAGAGCATGACATGATTTCAACTTTTACATTATAGAAAGATCTGACTCACCAAATTTACAGAAACTCTGAATACTTATTACTGAATGGCTCACTAAGACGTCCATGTATAAAGTAAAACAAGTTCAGAGTGTTACATTTATTACACTGGATTAATAGAAAGTAGCTGTTCTTTAAACTCTGTCTAATAAAATATTAAATTTTAATAAATGCTGTAAACCACATTTTCTTTTGCTAGCATCAATGGCTATACTTATTCATATAATTCATTACAAAAACGTGTAACTTCTGCCTTTAAATGTTTTCCCTTAAATGTTCTTCTGTGTTTCACATTCTTATCAGATTATGCTCCTAAGACACACTTAAAGGAAAACCATACACTTACAAGCCACACAATTTCTCTTCCTTGAAGGTTTTAATAAAGGCCCAGAAAATATTATAATATGAGCAGTTAATCTAGTCCACATGCCTAATTCCTGAAAAAGTGACATATAGCAAAACAACTG